TCTTGCTCACAGACTGTCTAGATACCTACCGGAGTTGGTGGAGCAGGACCGGGGGCGTTCATACAGGGCCGATCGATTTTCCGTAATATAGTGGCTGTGATTGAGGCCTTAGAGGTGGTGCAAAATGAGAACTTGGACATGGTTGTTCTTCTTCTTGATTTGGAGAAAGCTTCCGACAAAGTGGGTCGGACTTTCGTCCTAACCACACTGAAGAAACTGGGTTTCAGTGAGGGGTTCCGTGCTTGGATCGTCACCATGTACACTCACTCCACCTCTGCAGTTATGATAAACGGTCATCTCTCCGTCCCATTCCAACTCAGCAGGTCCTTGAGACAGGGCTGCCTGCTGGCCCCCCTGGTGTTCATGCTGCAACTAGAAGTACTCTTGAACAGGATTCAAAAAAGTCCGGTAGTCGAAGGAATGCAGTTACACACAGGTGAGGAATGCAGAGTGAAAGCATTGGCGGACGATCTGTTTGTGTTAAGTGCAAACTCAGTGACATCCTTGTCTGCTCTGAAATCTACCTTTGGCGAGTACTCGCTACTTTCAGAGGCCACAGTAAACTGGAGGAAGCCTCGGCCCAGGGACTGATGTTACAACATCGTATTGCTGGCAGACTAAATATGTGGGGAACCGCACGGCACTTGCCGCTGATAGGGAGAGCACTCGTGTCGAATGTGGCTCTCCTTTCGATCTTGTGGTTCTTAACAACTGTCAAAGAATCGGCAGCCGGTGTAGTAAAAGCGGTTAGAAAACTTGTGGATCAGTTTCTCTGGAAACCACGTGCACGGCCTTTTTTTTTTTTTTTTTTTTTTTTTTTTTTATGAGACGATGCTCCAATCTATTAGTGGGGAGCAACACGGCTGGGAACCGGGCCACCACGTGCACGGCCTGAGGAGGGCTTCCTGTCCAAGTTAGCTTTTGACACGTCCACCTTTCCACGCACGGAGGGAGGACTGGGTGTGAAGGACCCAGTAAGGAGAAACCATGCACAACTGCGGGGTTGGCTTGCAAAAGTGGCTAGCATGCAATCTCAGGACCACTGGATCACACTTGCTGAACAGATCCTGATGGGGGAGTGGGGTGTAAGCAGACCAAAAGACTTCCGGGCTTGCCTATTCATGCCTTCATTTAGAAAGAAGAAGCTCAAATCAATTTTCTGGGAGGCTGTGCGCAAGGCATGGGTATATCATCGTCCAAACCTCCCCAAGGCGCCCACTGCAAAAGAGGAAGTCCTGAACCAGCTGCTCTTTGAGAGCCCAGAGATCCATGGTCAACAAGGGAGCTCGATTCCAGCTGACGGCTCTCCGGGCTCCTTCGTTCGAGCCTGGGACAAGAATTGAAGATCTGTGGTCCACCATATTGGGAGGGTGGAAGCCACTCAGCGAAGTGAACCGGGTCCTGAGACACCTGCGGCGGGTGGAGGAGCACTGGGGCCTCATCATCAGCTCCATCCCACAGGGGTGGCTGTCAGCACTGGGCCCAGAAGGAGTGGACCCAACTGGGACCTGGCATACCTCGGTCAACGAAGTGGAGGCCGACATGGTATGGAGGGTACAAGAAATCCTGCCAAGCGGTTTCGGAAAGGTGGAGCGCTGGCATTGTGCGGACTGCTCGAATACGTTGTCGCTGATAGAGGAGGTAACAGTGACGGTATGGGATAACCCTGCTCAGGTACGAGTAGTGGAAAGCCAGCCTGAGGTTGGAACCACAGCAAGGAGATCCCTGAGGTGGATTGGCAGACTGTTGTATCGACCCTCAGGCATGGAGCTGGTCTCCCGGGCCACAGGAGCAAAATTCCCTGAGTCTACTCGATTACTCTGTTGCCCAAGGCTACCAACGCTCCTTCAACGCCATAAAACCACAAACAAAATAGTCATTGCGAGATGGCAGGCTGTATGGAATGAACATCTATCCCAGGCGAGCGAAGAGTTCAAAAGACTGTGGTCAGTTCTGACAATCATGCCAAACGGGAAGCAAGTGAGCATTCTCTGGTTGCTATCGCTGCTTATAACCCCATCAGCGGTCTGGCTGGTAAGCAGGGGATTGGCAGTGGAGCTGGGCTGTTGCAGATGCAGATGGCCGTTTGAGTCCACAAGGCATCTGTGGTGGGAATGCCCAGCATCCAGAAGGGTTTGGAAATGGTGGGCGCATCACTGGGGGAAGTTTGCAGGTCAAATCATACAGTGGGACGAGGACGAAAAGTTTGTGTTGCTGGGCTTCCTACCCGCCGGAGTAAAGTACAACAAAGGGTGGGGATACGTGGCCCACGTAACAAGAGGGTTGATCTGCGAAGTCATATGGTTGGACAGGAACAGAGCACGGTTCCAGAAAAAAACGTACTCGGATTTGGAAATCAAGAGGCATATCAAACAGAGCCTCAAACAAGCCATCCTGGTGGACTGGAGGAGAAAGGCGAAAGCAGGGAAGGGAAGTAGGGGACAGATGCATTGGTTCCTGAGAACATGGGCAAACAACAGTAGGCTGGCATCCCTTCACCCAAGAAAAGACCTCGCGGTGTCTCAGTGGATTTTAGAGCTAAACAACTACTAAACAACTACCCTCTTCACCCGAATAGACCGCCCGGTCATTAGAGCTGTATTTGGCACAACTTTCGGTCCAGATGCAGCGATAATTACCGGGCGTTCTATTCGGGTGAAGACGGTAGGGAGGTGATCGGTAAAAGTAGGTGGTTCTTGGCAAATTAATGTAAGGTAACCGGGAGTTTAACGGCATAGAGTAGGACTAGTTTATCAGTTACTCGGATAATCGGAGTAAACACCAGGACACTCGGTGTGGAAAGCCGTTGTAGGCCGAGAGGAGAGTGAGAGTGTCTGTAGGGCTGTGGACGTTATCCTCTGTGCCGTGCTAGTCCCAGAAGTACACTGCCCAGTAGTGCCTTTGGTTTGAAAATTACTGTTGGTTTGTTAATAGGGAACTGTCGAAGTTTCAGCGTTAATAGTTTTCAAGCTAGTAAGCAAACAAAGCAGTATCTTTGTACTTATCTCTACAGTGGAGAGTTTGAGACCTGGCAACAATTGGTAGACTCTTGGAAAGTGGTGGTAGTAGGCTTTCCACAGGCGAAAGCCTGTAAGCTAAGCTGGCTGATGCTGTCAGTTTTCCCGGTTGAATTGTGAGGTCCGCGTTGTCGAATTTGTCACCTATAATCAGATTACTGAGTTAAAAAAAAAAAAAAAAAAAAAAACTTGTGCAGTTAGTTTATTTTTCTGCATACCATAGTTTTGTTTCGGTTTTCTTTTTTTTTTTCTTATTTTGCTGGGACCTTCTTTGGTCCTTGCACGGCCGGGCCGCCCGGGCAAACATGGCCGCCCGGCCAAACATGGTGATACTGGCGGCCCGGCTGGTAGCTTACTTAGCTTGCCTATTTTTAGATGTGTCTTTCCGCAACCCAGCCTATGTGGCTGAGGGGTACACAGTGTCACATGTAACGGTCGCTAACAGATGGATACCGTACGATTGGAGGATAAGCCCGTCAAAAGAAGAAGAAAACGAAAAAAAAAACCCGGAAAAAACGGAAAAAAAAACGGAAAAAAACGGAAAAAAAAGGGGAAAAAGAAAAGGAAAACAGAAACGGAAAAAAAAAAACGGAAAAAAAACGAAAAAAACAACCGTAAAAACAACGAAAAAAAACGGAGAAGCAGCAGGACGAAAAGGGAGGAGCAGACCCAGCCCATGTGGCTGAATGGTGCACACAAGTGACCGTTGAGGAACAGATCGTAAGTTCGAATCCTGATGCAATCAGATAGATACATTAATTCAATAGTATTAAGACCCACTCCCTTTTGTAGAAATAAAATTGTGAAAAAAAAAGGAAAAAAAAAAACAAAAAAAAAACGGAAGGCGGAAATAGACCATGGAATCAACCAGCCTAGCTCAGTTAGTACACCCAGGTCGAATGGTGATGGAACTGCTGAGATGCAGACCTGAGTTCGAATCGTGATGGACCTAGATGTGCACAACGAAATCCTTGGAAAAAAGAAAAAAAAAAGCCCATGGATGTGCTGAGGAAAAATCTACATTCTGAGCGAGGACGAGGACAGAGAAAACAGAGAACACTGAGAAGACAGAGAGAGAGAGAGAGAGAAAGGGAGGGGAGAGAGAGGGGGCGGGAGGGAGAAGGAGAGAGAAATCGAACTGTTCTTCAACATAGGACTTAGAAGAGCCTTAAAGCGGGAGGAAGAAGAGTGAGGTTTATCAGTGCGGCGATTGTGGGGGGAGGAGCGAGTAAGAGAGTGGGTTGCGGAGGGAGGGGAGGAGGACACTGAGACAGACAGGCAGGCAGACAGGCAAGAAGGCAAAGAGACACAGCGAGTCCGTACGTCACCTTTGAGTGATACCTCAACGCACGCTACACACACACGCACACACAGAGAGAGAGAGAGAGAGAGAGAGAGAGAGAGAGAGAGAGAGAGAGAGAGAGAGAGAGAG